TTAGATTCATCTTATTCAGTGTGCAATAAATGTCTAACAATCTAACAATTTTTAAAAATGTATATTTAGATTTTAGAATATTTTAAGTGTTAATATTTTAAAATGATTCAAATATTCATAGAGTAAAATAAAATTATTTTTTCTACATTTTTTAAAATATTTTTTCTTTTGTGTGTCTGTGTGTCTGTGTGTCTGTGTGTGTGTCTGTGTCTGTGTGTCTGTGTCTGTGTTAACCTGAAGGCTGATTGACTCGTGGTCAGATTACTCTGTTACTCGTACTATAACATACTGTTAAGCTGAAGTGTGTATTATCTCAATTTCAGAAATTTCCAAACAGGACCAAACCTGCTGAATTTAAAAATAAATAAATGTAATAGGTACTGTACATAAATAAAGGAAAATATTAATTTTAAGTTTTTCATTAATTCTTCCTGCATTACTTGTTGCCATTCATTTATTTTATTTAAATTTAATTTTTATTGTTATTTATTATTTTCTGTATTTATTTGTAATAACATTATTTCTGTTCTTTCAGTTATTTATTTTAAAATTTTTCCCCCACGTATTTATTTCCATATTTAAATATTACCGCATTTATTTTAACAATTGTTTATTTTTGTATTTATTCTTATATTCTTACTCGTATTTTTCTCTCCCATTTATTTGTATTATCTTGAACTATTTTAGATTATTGTTTTTAATTATATTTATTTCCACATGTTTATCTCCATAAATATTGTCACATGTATTTATTTCAACAATTGTTTATTTATTTATCTTTTATTTATTCTTATAATACCATTGGTCAGTGCTGCTTATTTATATTTGTCTCTCCCCTTTATTTTCTGTATTCGTTTTTAGCTGTTTTGTGTGCTTTTCACCTTGTTTTTGATTCTTTCATTTTTTTTTTTTATAAAAATGTTAAATTGTTAGATTTTTTTAAAATCACATTTCCTGTCACTTCAGTTTTAATTTATTCTGTTTTTGTGTTTTATTGTTGTCACTCATAAGTGATATTTGTTTCAGAAGAAGCTGTATATTATGTAACATCTGTTTTAATGTGTCTTTCAGGTCAGCACCAAAGAAGTTATAAAATTTCAAATGGTGAGTTTTAATATTTTGTTCACACAGCTTTGTTTATTTCATTTTATATATTAAAGCAGATCACTGAATATTGAATTGTTTACAATATTCTGTATTTATTGTCCCTTATATTTTTATCATGTCATAATATGTGACCCTGGAGCACAAAAGCAGTCTTAAGTCGCTGGGGTATATTTGTAGCAATAGCCAACAATATACATTGTATGGGTCAGAATTATCAATTTTTCTTTTATGCCAAAAATCATTAGGATATTAAGTAAAGATCATGTTCCATTAAGATATTTTGTAAATTTCCTACCGTTAATATATCAAAACTTAATTTTTGATTAGTAATTTGCATTGCTAAGAACTTCATTTGGACAACTTTAAAGATGATTTTCTCAATATTTAGATTTTTTTGCACCCTCAGATTCCAGATTTTCAGATATTGTCCAACAAACCATACATCAATGGAAAGCTTATTTATTCAGCTTTCAGATGATGCATAAATCTAAATTTTGACTATGTTTGTGCTCCAGGGTCACAGATAACATGTTTCTTCTGTAGTGGTCAAAAGTGTGTCATATGACAACAGATGTGTTTGTTTCACAGGCGTATTCAAATTTGTTGCGAGCGCACATGGACGGCTTGAAAAAGAAAGACAAAAAGAGTAAAAGCAAGAAAACTAAAGCCACATAGTGATGGACAGTAAAGGAGAGGTGTGTAAGTCTGATCCGACACTCACCAGTGCCACGCCACCTTCCCATCAGCCCCTGCGGCTTCTGCTGATCCACAACCAACAAATCCAAGCGGACTGAGGACGCAGAGCTACGTTTACTACTAAATGCTAGGTTTTTGAGTTCTTTAGCTGGAGATGAGATGCGTTGTGTTTGGTCTGGAATCCATCAGTTTATATTTCAAGCCATAATTTGATTCAAAACAGTGTTTTATATGCTGAGTGAACATTACATGGTCAGTAACTTTGTTGTAATATTTCAGTTCTCCACTGTTTGTTTTTATTTTGAATGTTTTTCTCATTTTATTGAATGAGATGATATTTTTAAGTTTGACAGACGCCCTTGATTGTTGAAAGTTTTTGAGGTCTAACAGTGGAGTTTTTATTTGACCTTAACAGAACCAGCCTTGTAGATTTGCAGATAAAAGATAACATTTATTCACTTGATCATGAGAAAATCCCAAAGACGCTTGGACTGAGAATCACGATCTTGTGCAGGTAACATATTCAGAAGAGACGTGAAGCTTGTGTACTGTAAAAAATGAAGCATTGAAATAAATACAGTATGTACACATCAGGTCTGTGAAATTAAATGGCCGTGTTTCTCTTGTCCGGTCGCTCTTTGCTGGAGGTCAGTGTGTGGCTGCGTTTGCTCCGCTCTTCTTCCAGATACCCGTCCTTCATGATCGCCGTCACGTACTGGAACAGCGTCTGAGAGGAAAAAACAAAACCACTTACTGGAGTGATATAAACCACATGTGCAGCGCAGCGCATCCAGAGAATGTGTAAAAATGTATTATAAACCGGATAGTTCCGGTCCTTGATTCTGATTGGCTGAGCCACGTTCGAAGCTGTTGTAAATTACTCTACAAAGTAACACACACCTTTGTTTACGTTTGTGTGTTGCTCGGCAACCACTTGGTTGCAACCACAACTGTTTCTGAGGAGCTACATTGTTTGGTGGAAGAATACTGTTTTTATATCATTACACTTTATTTGCTCTGTTTTATTCTGTGAAACCTTACTACGTATATGGAATAACCGTTTTATAAAAGCAATGAGCCCCAAGAAGCCGTGGTTTACAGTGAATTTATAACAGCTAAAGGGAAGCTCGCGCCATGCCTAACAACGCCCCTTAGCTGTTATAAATTAACTAAACCACGGCTTCACGGGGCTTATTGCTTTAATTACCTTAATAGGTTACATTTTGAAATGACCTGTTTTATGCTATTGTTGTGGGAGGAATTTCAGGAAATATTTAATGATTGTAAAGGAAAGTACTAAAATAACAAACTCGTAAAAAATTATATAGACATATAAACTGACACGGACAAAAACACAAAACTACAACATTTAAAACCTGGTAACAAATCTATGAATATATTAAAAACTACAATAGTATTCATGGATTTCATGTGACGTCACACAGTGGTGCGGCCGCCATTTGTAGGACCGAATTGCAATTCCGTCAGTAAATCACAATGGACTGATTATTGGATGTATGGGATGCTTTTGATTAAATATTTCTCGTAAGCATAGATGCGTGTTTACATTAATGGCCCGAGTGTACGGAGAGGGATTGTGTACGAGGTAGATGTAAATAGCCAGCAAACGTCAAATTGGTAAGTTTTCACTAGACTTTAGTGGAGTCAGCAGTTCGCTTGACAGTAAATAAGGATCTAATCCTAAAGTGTCTATTTTTTTAATACCATTGTTTTCCGGTGTTGTTTAAGTGTTATTTTGGTTTCTGATCACCAAGGAGAGGCTACGCAAGGTCCTAAAGATGGCGGCCGCAACAAAAAAGTCACGTGACTGAAACCCATGAATATCAAAGATGCTAAAAGAACAGCAAAATACCAAGTATTTCAGGAAAATTACTGAAATATTCTGGGTTAAACATTTGTCTAATGGAGTCAAATACCACAAAAATTGCTCTGAATTAATAAAAAATGAAAATAATAATAACAAATTAAAGGCTTAATACTATTTATTGATAATGACAGCATAACTTGGAACATTCCTTTAAACATTAATCTACAAATGCAAAGATTGTTCATAGCACTACTGTAAGCGTTCAGAAATTATTCAATGCCAACGTTGTCATTTTTTATTACAAACGCTTAAAGCATTTCGCTAATTATTATAGTATAATTGTGTGTAGATAGATCAGCTGTTCAGTTACTTGATGAACAGCTCATTTGCATTTAAAGAGACACCGCACAAAAACAGCATGTTAAACATCTTTTATGTTACCAAATATTACTTCAGAGTAGTCTTTTTTTTCCCGTATATTTCTTAAGACGAAAATTTGTGTGCTTTTAGAAATCTTAATTTCTTGGTTCATGAATTTACATTCAGAAAATGATTATTATTTTTTAAAAGGTTAATAGAAATGTATGAAGATTTGCATTAGACAAGGGACAGAATAGGGTTACTATAGTCCACTAAAACTAGTCATAAAAAACAAATGAATCAAACAAAATTCAAAATTAAATAAAAATGAGAAATGTTGAAATATGTATACATGAAACAAGAAATGATATAGCTATGTGACCCTGGAGCACAAAACCAGTCTTAAGGGTACATTTTTCGAAATTGAGATTTATACATCATCTGAAAGCTGAATTAATAATCTTTCCATTGATGTATGGTTTGTTAGGATAGGACAATATTTGAAAATCTGGAATCTGAGGGTGCAAAAAAATCTAAATATTGAGAAAATCATCTTTAAAGTTGTCCAAATGACATTCTTAGCAATGCATATTACTAATCAAACATTAAGTTTTGATATATTTATGGTAGGAAATTTACAAAATATCTTCATGGAACATGATCTTTACTTAATATCCTAATGATTTTTGGCATAAAAGAAAAATCAATAATTTTGACCCATACAATGTATTTTTGGCTATTGCTACAAATATACCCCAGCGACTTAAGCCTGCTTTTGTGCTGCAGGGTCACATATATATAGATCTATATATTTATATTTATTTAATTTAGTTGCCAAGGCAATATTTCTTAACTTTAGTTTAACCTGAAGTACAAAATAACTAAAACTATGTAAAAAAAAAATAAAATAAAAAAATTTATGGTAGGAAATTTACAAAATATCTTCATGGAACATGATCTTTACTTAATATCCTAATGATTTTTGGCATAAAAGAAAAATCAATAATTTTGACCCATACAATGTATTTTTGGCTATTGCTACAAATATACCCCAGCGACTTAAGCCTGCTTTTGTGCTGCAGGGTCACATATATATAGATCTATATATTTATATTTATTTAATTTAGTTGCCAAGGCAATATTTCTTAACTTTAGTTTAACCTGAAGTACAAAATAACTAAAACTATGTAAAAAAAAAAAAAACTAAACTAAATAATAATCATGTAGACATTCAGAAAAAGCTAATATAATTGGCAAAAACACAACAAAAACGTGAGAACAGAAAATATAAAAATTAAATTGAATTCATTATTAACAAAAAATATAATGAGAATGATACTAAAATAACAACCGGACAACAGCAAAAAAAAGTCATTTTCATTCTTAAGAAAAATCCAAATGTTAACATTAAGAGAAGCTATGAATTTAGCCCCATTCTTCTAAATGTCTTAGAATTTAATCACACTTTCCTAAGAGCTTTTGTGGTGAACCTGGTCAGCAGAACAATTCGAGATGAAGCTGCGGCGAGGAAAAGAGCTTGAGAACTAAAGTTCAATCATTCATACGTCACTTACACGTGATGCAAAAGACAAAACCATGAGACAAACCAAACAATCGACCTGACTGACAGAAGGAGCGTGAGGAAGAGTACAATCATCATCAGCAGCAGCAGCAGCAGGGAAAAACCTCAAACCTCTGGAGGAGGGAACTGTGGAGGTTTTGAAGAAGAAGGTGAATACTTTACTTTCTGAACGGACTAGAGTTTGTCTTTCATTACCTTCCAGGCCTGCTCCAGTTCAGACGTCCATCTGTCCTTCAAAACCGGCCGAACAGCGCAGATGAACTCGGCTGCCACATACTGAACACAACCACACTTACAGTTAACCAACAACAAAACCATCAAAAAGCTACTTCAAATATAGATTAAAAACCTATTTTATTTGATATAATTTTTTTATTTATTGTATTTATGACGAAAAAACAAAATGACTAAAGCGTTCAAATAAAAGTGAAAACAGAAAGAAAAAAAAATCATTCAAAATATTAACAAAAAAAAAATTCAGGACTTCAGAAATTAGAAGAATTTGCCATTTCAATGAAGTGATCAAACCCAGATTTCTGCGTCTTATTTGCTTCATCAGAGCTGAAGTGCATCATTTCTGATAGAATTATGCAATCAGCAGTGCATCGATTATTACTAATGGACAAACTTTTGATTTTTGTATCAGCTGTATATTTGTTAGGTAAAATTGATCTGATCATGGAGCTTCCATCAGAAAATAAAAATAAGTAAATAAAAAAATAAATAAAAACGTATAATCTTTACATAAATTCACAGTGATCGCTAGCTGTCAAAATGACCAATAAATAACTAACTAAATAAATATCTATACAACAATTTCTATACAACAATACTACGAAAAATTTGACCAGTTACATAAAATATACATAAAAAAAGTACAAACTGCATAAAAAGGTAAACAAAAAAACAAAAAAAAATCACAAAAGTTCACAGCCAAAAATGAGCTTATAAACAAACAAACAAACAAACACTACAAAGGACTATTATTCTATAGAAAAAAACAACCATTTACAATTTTTTTTTAAATTCCACAGAAGATCCATGATCAGAATAATTTCACCATAAAATATACATGGGAAAAAGACAAACTGCACCGAAAAACATCCTTTGGTAAAAAGGACTGTTAACTGTTGTTCCATAAAATAAATCAATATTATAATTATTAAATAATTAAATGCTTATTTACATTTTTTATTTTATTTATTTTTATACATGTGAAAATGTGATGTTTTGATGTCAAAATTTTATTGAATTCAATTTTATTTCATAATTTAATCTTTTTAAAAATAATTTAAATGTATTTTATTTTTATTTTAATAAATCCACGCACAGAAATAATGTGTTTGAAATGATTTTTTACCCCGTAGTACTTTGGCGGTGCGTTGTAGCGGAAGTGGCTCTTGCCGAGTTCCCGCGCCAGAGTCTCTAAGCGCTCGAGCTGATCGAGTCTGGCCACACTCTTCTCGATGAACGACATCACGCTGCAAAAACAGCACAAAAGAGCTCGTTTCACTACTGCGGTACAAAACATGCTTAACTCTATGGAGTCTATTCAGGGCCGAATAGCTATATTTGCAAAAGAACTTAAAGTTTTGCAAAGGAAAATGAAAGTGAGAAAAAATAAATGTGTTTTTACAAGCAAAAATAAAGAATTGCAAAATATAAATGAAATGCAACACATATTTTCCATGGCCATAGCTCCTAATTTATTTGCAACGCTGCTTTTATTTTGCGTTTCAGTCAAGTGTGAGCTCACAATACTGTTTTTTCCCTTTGCGTGCCTCTTTCGCGAGCTCACACTTGACTGAAACGCAAAATAAAAGCACCCCTGGAGCACAAAAGCAGTCTTAAGTCGCTGGGGTATATTTGTAGCAATAGCCAAAAATACATTGTATGGGTCAAAATTATCCATTTTTCTTTTATGCCAAAAATCATTAGGATATTAAGTAATGATCATGTTCCATGAAGATATTTTGTAAATTTCCTACTGTAAATATATCAAAACTTAATTTTTGATTAGTAATATGCATTGCTAAGAACTTCATTTGGACAACTTTAAAGATGATTTTCTCAATATTTAGATTTGTTTGCACCCTCAGATTCCAGATTTTCAAATAGTTGCATCTCGACCAAATATTGTCCTATCCTAACAAACCATACATCAATGGAAAGCTTATTATTCAGCTTTCAGATGATGTATAAATCTCAATTTCACAAAATTTACCCTTATGACTGGTTTTGTGCTCCAGGGTCACATTTTTGTTTGCAAAAGCACATTTATTTTTTCTCAATACTTTCATCTTCCTTTGCAAAACTTTATTTTCTTTTGCAATACTTCAATTCTTTTTGCAAATATATTTGGTCCTGAATTGCCTCCATACAGCAGGCTCACTAATGTTTCCCTGAGCCCATAGAGTTGAGTGTGAATCCCAGCAAGACTCTCAGACCAATCAGACCGCGCATCCGTGTGTTTGCATGCTGTGAAGAGCGAGCGGCACGACCTCATCATCATCATCAATGAGCATCCTCCTCCTCTTCCTCACAGTCCACCGCTCAACAGCCACTTGGCCTTTAAAGCAGCGCGGATCAGCTCCGGTGTTTCCGGTAATTGGTGCTCTGTGAGTGGATCCGATAATAACAGTAAACATCATTTTACAGACTCAAGTGTCTCTTAACATTCCAAACACTGGAAACATGTTTTATTACAGACTCACATAAACTCACACATTTGATATTAATGCACACTGGTGTTTTAGTTGCTTGACAGCTATAAACAGATACAGTTAGACTAATGAACTAGCTATATTAGTTAGTGAAAGACTGATTTATTCAGATTATGATAATTAATGCATCAAACTACTGATATATAGCAGTAAATGAATAAATAAGTATAAAATAATAAATCAATAAAATTATTTTTGAAAATTTAACAATAAAAATAATACATCATATGATATAAATAAATATATGCACTATATTTTGAAATGACTTTGACATTTTATATAGAGATTTTAATTATTTGTGTTTAAAACATATTTGTTAAAAATTAAATAAAAGTCTGATTATAATGATTATGATGATATTTGTAAAAAAAAAAAAGATTATGATTATTCACACACACACAATATTTTTAAATATATATACATATATATGCACACACATTTATCATAAATAAATGCTTTTCAAATTATGATGATTGCTGTATATGTAAATAAATATAAACAAAAGCAAATAAATGCACCATATTTTGAAATACATTTAAAATATATATACACACAAACTTATACATTTATCATGAATAAATAAATAATACAAAATATATTAGTATAAGACTAGTTTCAGATGAATGCATCAAAGTGTTGCTGATGTTTTATCAAAGCCACTTGAGGCTGAACAATGAGTCTTGTTCATGAAAAACCTTCATAAATTAATTCTTACATTGCAATTAATGTGTCAATTTACATAAGAATAATATAAACAAAAGCAAATAAATGCACCATATTTTGAAAGACATTTAAAATATATATACACACAAACTTAAACATTTATCATGAATAAATAAATAATACAAAATATATTAGTATAAGACTAGTTTCAGATGAATGCATCAAAGTGTTGCTGATGTTTTATCAAAGCCACTTGAGTCTGAACAATGAGTCTTGTTCATGAAAAACCTTCATAAATTAATTCTTACATTGCAATTAATCTGTCAATTTACATAAGAATGGGTTCATTTAGACAGAAATGCATTCTTATGTGACTACTGGCAGTGTAAGTTGTGTGTTCTACAGTGGTCCAATGTCTCTGTATTTGTGTTTGTTATAATCCTTGCATTATTAAAGCGTGTGCTTTGATGTCATTGTACTTGTAGTGCATCCCTTACAGAAAAGTACTATGTTTGTACCGCGGTAAAACCACATCCTTTCCAGCATTCAGACTCTTGGATAAACAAGTGGATGTGTGTCAATCAAAGCTAATGGAAAGTGTCACGTCTCTCACTAATAGAGCAGAACGTGGCCTCTCGTTTGTTTGTCTCTCATCCTGCTGTGCAAACGAAACGAAAGCTCTTTCTATCATGAGCCGGTCTGTAATGGCTCGTTATTTCTGCTCCCTAATGAACACCAGACATGATTCGCCCTTCTAATGCCTTTATACAGATGTTCTGCATTGATTTCATGAAGCACAACCACAAACCCAACAATTCCTAGTTATTTATTTATTAATTTATTTAATAATAAAAAAATTGTTTCAGTCTGTTCTGCATTTGACTTCTAGATTTGTTTGTTTTTTGCACATATTATTAATGCTGTTGAAAAATGTTCTTGTGATGTTCCTCAGTTGTAGTTGCTTTGGATAAAAGTGTCCACATGAATGTAAGTAAAGAAGCATTTGTGGTAGTTATTTGCTGATGCATACATTTATTATACTGTGGTATAAATAAACAAATAAATGTACTATATTTGTGCTAACAGGAATATATCAAATGTATGTTTTTATATGGCTGTATGAATAAATAATTGTAATATTATTAATTATATTAGAAATAATACAGTTATTTATTTCCCAGGAAATTTGAGGAAAGATTCATTGGGTTCAATGCCAACATAAGCATTTAATATATTGCTGTATAAATAAATGCACTTTATTTTAACAGGAACATACTAATAAAAAATAAACAAACAAATGAACATTTTTCCCCCAGAAAATGTGAAAAAAGGATTAATTAGGTTCAATGCTAATAGAAAAAAAATGTATACACTGACATTTATCATATTTCTGTATGCATAAAAAAACAACACTATAGGAATTGGATGTGTATGTGTGTGTGTGTGTGTTTATATATAATATTATAAACACACACATTTGTAATATTATAAGATTACTTGGGTTCAATGCCACAAGAAAAAGCTTGCGATTAATAACAAAACATGATTTTAATTTATTGACAGCCCTAGTTATCATGTGAGGGCACACACACACACACACACACACACACACACACAGAGCTGTCAGGATGAGTGTTTGTGACTCTGAATGAGCACTCGAGCACTAGTAAGTGTGTGTGCGGCTGGATACTGACCGCAGGCCGTGGGCGCGAAGCTCTCTGCTGGTGCGTAACCTCTCCAGATCCTCCACGTCCCGAAACAGGAAGAAGACGTCTTTACACTCGGGATGTGTCTCAAACAACCTGTTACCAAGACAACAGACAATCAGCTGCTACAATCACAACTCAGAAATAACAAAAATAACAATCCTGAGAGCAGTGCTATTGTAGTATGTGATATACTGTTTTGGTCAACATTTTTAATAGAAATGTTTTTTTTTTTTACTTTATTTTTATATTTTCTGTTTTCACTTGAACTTTTAATATATATATATACATATATATATATATAATTTTTTTCTTTTTTTTTTAAATATTCTACATCATTTTTTATTTAGTTTTTAGTTTATTTTAGTACGTCCTAATAAACAAAAATAAGAAATGTTGCCTTGACAACCAGCTGGAATTTAATGTTATTCTTTTTATATTTAAGTTTATTTTATGTCAAGTAATGAAAATGTTTTCATATTCACCATAGAATAAAAAATAAAAAAGGTATTTGCAACTTTTTCTCTCACAATTCGGACTTTTTGAGTTTATATCTCACATTGTGGATTTCTTTTCTCAGAATTGCGAGAAAAATGTCAGAATTGTGAAATATTACCTTTTTAATTTTTTACCATTTTTTATTGCAATTACCTTTTATCTGTTTTATTCCATGGCAGAAACAAAACAAAACAAAAGAGAGAGAGAGAGAGAGAGAGAAATTGTAAGAAAAAAGCCAGAATTCAGAGCTTATATCTCATAATTCAGTTTAAAGTCAGAATTGAGAGAAATAAAGCCCAAACTGATATATATAAAGAACTTTAAATATATTTTAACTCTTCCCTGCCAGCGTTTTTGAAAAAAGTTGCCAGCCACCGCCAGCAGTTTTGCTGATTTTCACTATAATTTCACGGCCCCCAGAATATTTTGTTGTATGAATATCCGAACACGCAACATAAAGATCAGACCCTCCACTTTCAAACAAAAAATCTGTTTTATTCTAGCTTCAAGCATTGTTTTTTATCAACACTTGAATGTAGGTAGGTTTCATAAAAAAGCAACATTTTGAGCAAAAAGCAGAGAAAATTGCATTTTTATCAAATACTACATCTGGATCATATTTAGCATTATTATCAAAGCAAAGATGCAGTAGATGGCTTCCATCAGCACTCCCAAAGCTTGCACACTTTCTGGATCCACATTTCACTCAGTAGCTTTAGTCAGTTTCCATGCGGTTAGTGTTGATGATCGCGTTATTTTTCATATGCATATGCTTACATATGAGATTTCTCGTTTCTGTGTCTTCCTGGTCTGTGTTTTTGATCGGCACTTTCTAGACTCATTTAGGAGATGCGAAATAGCGCCCCCTAACGTATAACTGCGAAAACACGGAAACCTGGAAAATTCCGTGTTTGGCCGGGAAAGAGTTACTAATGAATTATTGAAAGCATAAACCTTTATGACCTGCTAAAACAGCTCGAAGCAACTAAACTGGTTCAGATGGTGAGCAGCTTGCATCCTAACACTGGTTATCAGTATGTTCTGGGCATTTTATGCTGGTTTTAGCTGGTTCAGACGGGTCTAAGATCTCTGAATTTTGTTTCGAAAAAAGGTTAAAAGAGTCTCGCGTGTAATAATGCGACGGAAAACAGAGAGAATACAAATTAAAGTACTGTAGCACAACACACAAGTGCTAATAAGAGCAGAACCCTGGCTAACAAAATGTTCTAAGAATATTTGCTAACATTCCCATTTACTTATAAAAACGTTATAAATGTTCTCTGAACATTTAAATGTTTAAAAAATGCTTTCTTGGTTATTCAAACATGATGGAACATTCCATTGTATCATTTTGCAAAGATTATGAGAATGTTACTTTTGAATGTTCTCTGAACATTCCGAAACAAGTAGTAACATTTAAATAACATTAGACAAACATCTAACTACGTTTCAGGGAAAAAAATGTTCCATGAATGATGTATAAATAACAGCTGCGTTCGAAAGCCTAGGCAGCTGACTTGCTGCTGTATGAGGCAATGACTTTGCAGGCAGCGTTTTTGCACGAAGGCACCTCATGAAACTGATTTCGGACAGGCTTCTGAGGCAGCGTAACGGTTTAATGATCTACAACAAAATAGAACGAGTTTTGATGATAACTAAACGAATATTTAATTATTATAATACTGATTTCTCGCTAAAAAATTACATTTATGTTTACATTTAGACATTTAGCAGACACTTTTATCCAAAGCGACTTACAAATGAGGACAATGGAAGCAATCAGAATCAACAAAAGAGCAATGATATGTAAGTGCTATAACAAATCTCAGTTAGCTAAATGCAGTACATGTAGCAAGTTTTTTTATTATATAATAAATAAAAAGAAAAAGATAGAATAGAAAAAGAATAGAGCAAGCTAGTGTTAGAGGCCTTTTTTGCTTTTGTTAATTGTATAATAAATAAAAAAGAAAACAGATAGAATACAAAAAGATGAGAAAAGCTAGTGTTAGTTGTTGTTTTTTAAATAGAATTAGAATAGAGAGTGCTAGAGTTAGAGGGTCAAATAAAGATGGTAGAGATGTGTTTTTATGAGTGTAGGTAACGGGGTGCAGAGCCAGTGGTGGTTTTGTAGGCAAACATTAATGCCTTGAATTTAATGCGAGCAACTACTGGTAGCCAGTGCATATTGATGAACAGAGGTGTGACATGCGTTCTTTTTGGCTTATTAAAGATTAATCTAGCAGTGGCATTTTGGATTAATTGTAGAGGTTTGATAGAAGTGGCTGGAAGACCTGCCAAGAGATCATTGCAATAGTCCAGCCTGGATAGAACAAGAGCTTGAGCAAGGAGTTGTGATGCATGTTCTGGAAGAAAGGGCCTGATCTTCCTAATGTTGTATAAAGCAAATCTGCAGGACCGGGCAGTTTTAGCAATGTGGTCTGAGAA